GAATAAACCATAGACCCCAAAAGATAAATCAACAAACCATGCCATTACCTTTCACGAGGCAGAATCAAGCGGCCTTCTCTAATCGATGGGCTTGGACAAGAAGATAGGTAGTGATTTTTGGCCCAGCCAATAACTTTCTCCGCTCCTGCAGAACAAAATAAAGAAGTTTTTGAGCTCTCTTGGTCACAACAAAAGTATTTGGAATTTCATCACAGAAAGCAAGTATTAACAGAAATGATTGCATCAAATAAGAAATAGCGGCATTATTAATGCCAATAACAAGGAACTGCATCCTATTTCAACTAATATAATCATAATATTAGCCAAAATTATTCGAAACAATCAGATCAAGGAGACTGCGAAAGATCCAAAATATGCGTGCAAGTAAAAGCGTTATCATAGCAGTCTACTAACAACCGGTTTCTTGCCATTATAGCAATAAATGGCAGATATAACATATAGTAAAGGCAAGCTTGATATCCTCAATCAGCAACTTTATCCATGCACAACACTGCTAAGACATAACAACATTGCTAAGACATAACAAGCAAACACATACATAATAAACCAGGTATTTCATAGGAGTTACACACTTTGCTTTGTCAAGATCACTCCATCTGTGTTCACTTGGTACAAGTCTGTGCATAATAAATCGTTTTCCTCAAGTGCCTGGAAAAATTCTCAAGGTGTTACAATGGTTATGTAAAAATCACTAATTGACACATTTCTCTAGATGAGCTTCAGCATAGATCTGTGTACCTTAAGTAACTCATTTAAATTGCTCCGTGATATCACAATTCTTCTATCTTCTCCAAGTTGTTTGTTGAATACTACGAGGTTATCTTCTTCCTGCACCAAAAATAGAAAAGAAGAAAAAACAAGTAAGACCACTGATAAGCAAGACATGTGAATCAAAACATGTGAATCAAAGAAATCTCAAGAAGCATATAGAAATATGGGATATGTGGGCACTTGCATCCCAGACTTTATTGCAGATGAATTTAACCTTCACTCCGAGACTTGGAAGGAAGTTTGTATATTTTTTCTCATATTTTAAAGTCAGTTTTCAAATAGCTTTCCTACTTTCTCCTCATGTCGGTAACCTAAGAGGAATTATCAGATATATTTTCTCAAAAAGCATTATCTGATTTTGACCAGTCCATGCAAATCTCAAACACACCAATGCAATTTTCATCAGTTATCCAAAATCATGTAAGAAAGTTATCAAAACACAGAAGACATACCTTAGGAGGGAGTAGGTTCATAACATTAGTGAAGAGCCTGTATATCTCTTTATCCTCTGAGCTTTTCCTTCCTGTGAGTCCCTCTGTAAGTCTCTTCAATGGAAGGGGCTGCAAGACACAAAGGCATCAATGATAAATACTTTGGAGTGTAGGGGTTGGAATTTATCAAATGCAGATTAACAAATGGAAGTGTTGTAATGTCAAGAAGGTGAAGCATGTGAGTCCACATTCAGAGTCTTGCACATGCGAAGCAAATATGACCACAAGTGTCAAAACGCGACTGACAAAAAGTCAAGACTCAATGTGTGTTCAAGATGCTGAATAACTTGATCGTGTTAGTGGTTGAGGTGCATATGAGACCACCAAGTTTAAAGAAATTGCCAGAATATATAAGTACTCAGATTCTATCATCAAAGTTACTTTTATGTTTGGCTAACATACCAGTTTTGCAAAGCGGCCAAAGTTTGGGAGTATCATCGTCTGTTCACAAACAAAAAAGGTACAAAAGATAAAGGAAACGATATATTTACTGATCATAATATTCATAACAAAAGAAGAACCAATGAACAATGATACGTGAGAAAGACTTACGAATTTCTGTCTCTCTTTTGAGCCTGTTTCAATCTTGTTCCGCCCACAGATCATTACAACAGGACCTGACAATTTATCAAACATTTCCTGAACTTTGTCTACAAACTCATTTCGTTTTGACTTAGGTACAGCTCTAGACAACCACTGGGATGAGTCTGGAAAATAGACAATAAGTGGTTGCGTGGATTGCAAAACCTACACACAGAGGAAATTAATGGAATCAATTACAAGCCAAAAATCCGGATATACTTATTGCTAGTGCAAAAGAGACTGCAGAAACATTGACCAATGACCAGACACATAGAGAAAGAAAAATTCAGGCGTCCACAGCAGAGCATAAAAAGTAGAATCGACACTTTATAATAATTGTATTCGTAACTTTTTTGAGTAAGATTCAGTGTTATAGTACTCGAACTATGTCACAGTTTTCTGAATACCAGCAAACTTTCTTAAAACTTAACAAATAGGAACCCATGAGTGGAATGCGTTAAATTAAGACTACTTCAAGTTTTATGAGCATTGGAGAAAGTATATGCTAACCACATTGAAAGTCAAGCTACTTTAGACTTCACATCTTAGGGCAGAGATATCATAAATTTCCATCCCAACAACGAATAGGTTGAACCATCCATAACATATTAAGTTTCAATCAAACTAAATTTAAAATTATGAGCACTTGCTACTCCTGGATACATTATCTGATATGAACTATCAGATAGACCAAATGTCCACCAATAGCTGAAAGCAACAAGAAAACATAATTTAGTTTCCAAACATACGTCACTTAAAGCCTCCATCGCGATGTAGCCATCTTCTGCCTGCATATCCAAATCATGCTTTAGGTCTTTAACTGCGCAGACAATATATTAGTTAGCTACGTTTCCGTATGATGTCAATCGTCTACATAAATGATAATTCTCCAAATAAAAAACGATCACACATCAACCATAAGAATTGCATGAAGTAAATATACCATCTAGCCAGTGCATATGTTGCTTAGGAGACTTCTCTTTTGGTTTCTTCTCGCTTTCCTCTGATGATGTATCACCACCACTGTCAAATATGACCGCAATGCGGTTCCCATTCACCTCAAAAATCTCTCCACGTTGTCCGCTAGATAATGGCCTGCAGGTATAGAAATTTTGGTTGAGGACTTGTATTTGTATCTACTATCCTTCATGCATAATATCAAGCATGCCATGGGAGTTTATCTCTTCCAGAACTCTTAGAGTTCAACATAAGTTGCAAAAAGATCAAATGCACAACATCATCAACATAGTGATGATATTGGACAACACACAAAAACCAATCACCAAGTTAAGCAAAGGTAATGCCAGTTGCAAAGCTCCAAAATAAGTGAACACATCATATAGGAAACAATCGTGAGCAGTTTGGTATGGTTAGAGAGTAATTTTGCACACAAGTGAATCAGTAAACTACCTGTGTTTTGCATCACCCTTCTTAGGAGGCCCAACATATTTTACTCGATCTCCTGCAAATGATACCAACAC